CCAATCAGGTTCTATGTATATTCTGTTATCCACGGTTTATCTCAGAAACGAGGATTTCATATTACACAAGTGAAGAATCCTTGAGAAATGTTTATGGCAAATGTCAACCGTAAGTCCGCACAAGACATAAGTGATCCCCAAATGGTGAACAGTGCCATTCTACAAAATAAAATGTCTGCAGAACAAAAAGGACCCTGAACAATTTCTGGAATTTTTGTGTTCCTTTATTTGTTACTCCTCTGCACTACATCAATTTTTCCAGGCTCGTTTTGCTTTCAAGTCTGATGCGCGTGTTTTTTCTCATATATATAGGAAGAAGAAAGTATTCGCTCCAGACGTAGATGTCTAGCTTGCCTGTGTGCTGTAACATTAATCAGTGCATCGGGCCCAAAGTTTTCTATCATTGGAACCTTGATGATTTATCTCATTTGAACATAATCTAATCCCTCTGATTTTTTTCAGTACATAATTGTACACCTTCTATGCCCCGCTTAATTGTGTGTTCATTTTGTTAATCAAGAAGCATCTGATTTTATGGCTGGGTATGTTGAAAATATATAAAACCTTTCTTCTTTTGGATAATTTGTTTCCCTTTGACCAATCTTTGTTACTTGCCTACACATCTGTGCATAGCGTGGTGCTCCAGCGCGACCGCTTCGTGTGTTGCCCCGAGTCGCATGGCCACCATGCCCCCGCCGAGGCGAAGGCCGCTGCCACTCTCAACGCCCTCTGCTGCGCGCTCTCGCCGGCGGCGTTTGCAAAGCCTTGTCGTGGCGCTGCAAGTGTTGCCCCCCTCCTCCCCAAGGGCAAGGTGAAGGAAGGTGCATGTGTGGTTCTTCAGCAGCTCGCAGCGAGGATTGCTGTGTCCAACCTGCAGAAGTATGCCAAGAAGTTCTCGGAGATGTAAGCCACGACACATTTTTCTGCCATGATTTCCTTCGGTTGGATTTCGTGGATTTAGGTGTTGAAAAATTATGGGTTGTGGATGCAGGATTAAGGACATGTCCCCGCACTACAACGAGAGATCTGAGCTGTTTGGAAGTTAGTTTAGGTTTTTGTTGTGGATTCACAGCTTCTCACATGTATGATCCTCTTAGACCTTTAGATTTCCAAAAAAACTAAATGAAGATATGGTGGTATGGTCTCAATAGTACAACTTAAAGCCTTCCATGTTTTATATTTTCTTTAAAATTTGCTCTTGAAGAATTATGTATCTATGTTAGATCCGGTGAGAAAAGGCGGCTTTCAAGTAGAGGTTGCTGCAGTGTTGGGCACATTTGGTTTTCGACTTAAGTGTCTAAATATTCTCACAATACTTGGCTCCCTTTCGGCCTTTGCGCCATTGGCGCAACGAGTCATCTAGTGACTATAACAAAGAAAAGAAAGCCTAGTATGGCCCAGTTTGTACTAAGAATAAAAACATTTTTTATCTGTGAAAAAGAAAGCTCAGGTTTTGCCATATTATGAAAAAAAAACTGCCATTAAAAGAAGAAAACTGAGAACTAAAAAATCCCAGTGATGCAAACCGGAAATTGCCATCTGTCTTTAACCAAGAGAAAATGCTATGATAAAAATGATATTTGTTTACAAAAAAATAAAACAAACATGAAAATGCCTAAAACCTACAATGTGTACAAAAATAGAAAAATAACAAAATACATATGCAGTAAGTATTTTTTCATGTAATATACAAGACTAATTTCCCATCTAATATAATACCAAAAAATCATACATGAATAAGAATGCAACAATGCGATTCCTTAGTTAAAAATTGTATGCTTTCTCGCATCGTCCTAAAAAAAGAATCTTGCCGCGAGCATTAAACTAAATTTATCGTGGGACATCTAGTGAACTTGCCATGGTAAAAAACTAGTTGACATCTTCTTGAAAAAAAGAAACTTGCTTGCCTCCGTTTAAAAAAAAAAGAAACTTGCCATGGGCATTAAACTGAATTTATCATGGGACATCTAGTGAATTTGCCATGAAAAAATCAGTTTAAAATTGCCATGAAAAAATGTCGACATTGTCTTGAAAAAAGGAGCTCGCCATGGGCATTAAACTGAATTTTCAGTGGGACATCTAGTGAATTTTGCATGGCAAAATCACTTTAAAAAATTGCCATGGTAAAAAACAAATTTGACATCGTCTTCAAAAAGGGAAACTTGCCATAGGCATTAAACTGAATTTGCCGTCGGACATCTAGTGAATTTGTTGTGGTAAAAAATAATAACATCATCTTGAAAAAGAAACTTGCCATGGGAATTAAACTGAATTTGCCGTGGGACATATGGTGAATTTGCCATGACAAAATCACTTTAAAAATTGCCATGGTAAAAAAAAGTTGACATCGTCTTGAGAAAAAGAAACTTGCCATGGGCATTAAATTGAATTTGCCGGGGGACATCTAGTGAATTTCCCATGGCAAATTCACTTTAGAAAATTGCCATGGTAAAAGAAAAGTTGACATCGTCTAGAAAAAAGAAACTTTCCATAGGCATTAAACTGAATTTGTCGTGGGACATCTAGTGAATTTTCCATGGCAAAATCACTTTAAAAATTGCCATGCTAAAAAAAAAGTTGTCATCGTCTTGAAAAAAGAAACTTGCCATGGGCATTAAACTGAATTTGCCGTCAGACATCTACTAAATTTTCCGTGGCAAAATCACTTTAAACATTGCCATGCTAAAACATGCCATGATCTACGAACTAAATTTGCCATGGCCAATTTAGGACACAAAATAATTCGTCTTGTCCTAAAAAACTTGCCATGCTATCTAGAAAAAAGTGTGACTTTCCTAGAAGAATGCTTGTAAATACGCATGTATAGTGGCCATGAAAAAAAAACTCAAATTAAGTTTCCCATGTCAATACATCTTAAGTTTGCAAATAATGGCAGAAAAACAACACATCTTAAAGTTTTGCATGACAAACCTGATCTTGAGCTACCCATGGGACGACATGTTAAAGAATTGACATGGCAATATCACATTATAGACAAATTAAAAGCAATGGACAGCCGTTCCAGGGAAGAAAACAACTAATTCCCATATAAATGTTTAGATCAGAGGAAAAACCCCATAAAAAACACCATGAACAAAACAACTACTTCCCATATACACAGTGAATCTGCGATGCATCTACTCCACCAACAAAGTGTGACCAAACTAAAAAATCCATCTCATCTCTGCCTCAATTTTCAGCCATGGACTTAAATTGCCATCCTTCATTGAAAACTACATTTGCCTTGGCAAAAAGTGGAGACATGCCATTTTTTTCAATTGTCATGTGATCATGGCAATTAAAATTTGCCATTGTGTTGGGTAAAAGCATGGTAATACTTTGCCATGAGATATAGGAGGAACCTCCAAGCACTTGCCATGTGACAGCTACAAATAGAAACAAGACTCTATAGAATTTCCATGATGAAAGAACACATTTGTTGAGAAAACTGCCATGGGCTTGAACAAAATTTTACTAAAATTTGCCATTGCCCCATTTACTATCACATATCATCTACAGCAAAAAGAAAGAAAACAGGCCTACTGCCCACATCTAAATTGGACAGAATTTTTTGCCATAGCAAGTACTCCCTCCGTTCCAAAATAGATGACCCAACTTTGTACTAAAGTTAGTACAAAGTTGAGTCATCTATTTTGAAACGGAGGGAGTATATATAAACATCATGGCAAAAATTGCAGTAATTTTGAAAAAGGGATCTCACAGTGTTAACAACATGGGAAAAAACCAAACAAAAGGGCATGTCACAAGCTGTGAATGTTCTTAACATTTAGAAAAAATTAAACAAAAAGGGAATCTAGAATCAATGCCAACGCTTGCATTAAATCTGTAGAATACATAAACCGTAAGTGTTGTGAATCATTGACATGATTTTTAGAGACAACAAATAGTATGTTGATAATTTCAGGCGTTCATGCTTCAATTGTTGGTAAAATTCAGGCATTCAGGCACGGGATGAATTGTGAAGCATTGACAACGAATGAAATTGGGAATGAAGCATTGCTCACCTTGAAAACGCTTTCCTAATTGATGTGGCGGAAGTCACGGGTCATGGCGGTCGCTGCGAGGAACAAGCTGTGGGCACAGCGGCGACGCATCCGGCTTGCTCGTCTTGCTGGTAATGTTGTAGACTAGGAACGTGACCGAGGGCATGGTCTGCGGCTGTGGCCGCTGGCACCACAACGCCGACGGTCAACGCGCCCTAGTGCAGATGCTGCCCGCAGCGCGCGGAGCAGAGCTGTCCTGGCCGCCAGGCGTGGAGAGTCTGGCGCCGAGCCGAGCATTGGCGTGAGCCATCCCTGGCCGCATGGCATGTAGATGAGGAAGAAGGAGGAGAAGCAAAGAGAAGAGCGCAATGGATTCACCGGCGAGCGGTCGCAGCGCTCCGGCGTACGGCGACGCGGGGACGACCAGATCATGGCGAGAGGAAGGCGTCGGCTGCTGCCTGGGTTGAGGCGAACCGACGGGAGCTCGGGCGTGGTTGCAGGCATCAGGGACGCTTGGTGTGGCGGCGGTGCACGACGAGCAGCTCGCCACCTCGTATGGGCATGGTTGCAGGCATCAGGGGGAAGAAAGGACTGTAGGAGGAGAAAAGGATAGAGACAGAGGAGTGGGGCGGCGTTCGGGACGGCTGTCTTTCATGCCGAACGAGCTTCTTTGCCGACGTGGCGATTTTTGGTGCTCCAGGATTCGTGCGAAAAATCAAACAGTAGAGAAGGCGTTCGGACTGAGAATCTTAAAAACAGTACGTTCGGAGCTTATTGATTCCGTTGTTTATTTACTACTAGTGCACAAATTAAAGCAAGGAATCCAGGCTCGCACGAACAGAAGCGCAAGCGGACTCCTCGTGCTGCTGAAACTGAAAGCGTATACTGGTAGTAGACGGGCAGATGATCACCCACCCACGGGAGGGAGGTCTCTTCTCTTGAATGGGATCATCACCAGCACGGCACGGCACACACCCGCGCGGAGTACATAAACATCTAGTACTGCGCACGTAGCTTAAACTCGGTAGGCATATGCTTGCAGACCCTCTGCACCGCCGGTCTCGCCATGAGCATCTCCCACCAGGCCTTCACCTTGGGGTACTCATCAAACACCTTGGCGTACGGGGTGGTCATGAAGTAGAAGGTGAATGGAATGTGGTTCAGATCGGCGAAGCTGATGGAGTCCCCGGCCAAGTACCTGCTCTTCTCCAGCCGGGCCTCGTAGATCCCCAGCACACCCCTCAGCCGCTCCAGGCTCTCGTCCACGACGGTCTGGTTCGGCGCCGCGCCACCGCCAGGGATGATGAAGGGAATGATGATGCACTCGAACACCACGGGCGAGATGGCCGGGTAGTACTGCTGGGCCTCCACCTCCGTCCACACGTCCACCATTGCTAATTCTTCGATTCCGCTGTTTTCTCCGAGGAGGTCCAGGCCGGCTGTCCCCCCGTACTTGTGGAGGATGTACTTCGCGATGGCGCGCGACTCTGCACTCACTCATCGATTTGTTAGATTAGAGAAACCAACCAATGGATTTTTAACATGATACTCCTAGACAGGAATGATTCGTGTGTACTGATGTGTTAGAAGGCTCACCGAACAGGACGAGATCGCCATCTTGGAACCCAGGCATCTTCGCAAACGGCTGCAAGTAGCATCTCTGTCAGAAATCATCACCTGAACCTGATACGGTGACCCATCGACGAATTGCCGTCTGCTTACGTTTAGCTGGACGTGTTGGGGCCTCTTGTGCTCGCCGGCGACGAAGTCGACGGGCACGAGCTCGTACTCGGCGCCCACCTCCTCCAGGAAGAGCAGCACCCGTGCGACGTTTGTCAACATCGGGTGCCCGAACACCTTCACCGGAGACATGTTTGTCCGTGAACTTCACGTTATGGATGCTCTACAGGCAGGAGAGGGCAGATACTGGAGCAAGACTCTGCTCTGCTCTGTAGCGTGTGTGTGTGTGTGTGTGTGTGGGAGGAGGCCTTGGATGTTGATCTCCATTTATACACAGAGCAGGGTCTCCTTTTGCTTATCTTGTAAGACCTGGTGATTTCTATTAGTGGAAATCTTCTTTCAAAAGAATTACTAGAAATCGGAGAGAAAAGCTCTCTTTTATCGGGAAAAAACACAGAGCAAGGAGCACCACACCCGCGTGGCCCAAGGAAATAACAAGGCTACATCGACTTTTTAGCTAGTGTCTAGATCTGCTTTATTTCATTTCTGCCAAAAAAATATATATGAAATAATGACTGCCAAATGAGCTCTTAATAAATCATTTAAACCGGGTAAGTACTGTAATCATCTTTGTTAGTTTATCGCATACTCCCTCTTAAATTATCCAACGGGAGAGATCACGAGCACTTTGAAAAGATGTTCCAGATTTTTAGGGATAAGCACATGTATACTGTTATTACAAGTCTATACTCCTAGACATATTCCTTGTTCTAGAAATTGTGGATCGCTGATGGCAGCGATGACAACAAAGGCAGCCTGACTTTTCTTGCCATCCCATCCTTGGATACATGCCGGGCGGCTGCAGCCGTGGCGGACTGGCGGGGACACGGCGAAAGCTGAGGAGAGGCGGCAGCAGCTTCTGGTCCAGCATCAACCACGACAACAATAGCTGAAGGAAAATATAGAAGGTCTCATCTGCTCCTCATGTGGTCACGGTGCATCTTCGTGTAACATCGCCGCCGGCGGCTATGACCGGCTACGATATACGACGACAACAAGATGACTTCATATGGCAACCCTTGCGGTCTTGCCTGACCGGAGACGACGACACTTGAGGTTCATCATCCCATCCTTTATTTTCTTTCAGGGGTTTCACCATCTCATCGTTGAGGTATATTCTCACGCATGCATTACTTTTATGCATGTAGTTCCTCGTACTAATTTATCTTCCATTGTTCATTAATTTTTTTTATCTTCCACTGACTATGGCGTATGGCAGTGTAATCTATGCACACCACGGTGACCAAGATCCATGGACACCTGGGCCCGTGCTAGCTGGTCTGTCGTCCGCATATCTATCGGTGCCAGCACCACGTACCCACGATCGGCTACACCTATTCGATTTTTTGTCCAAAAGGACCCCCTAGCCAACAGAATTGTCAAAAAAGACCACATGTCAAAAACATTGTCAAAAAGGACCTCCTCGTTAGTGGCGGCAGGCGACACGTGGCGCCTGCCGCCACGCCAGGAGGCGGCGGGCCCTGCCACCACCACAGGAGGCGGCCGCGCGGGATATAGCCGTCTGTGCACAGTGCGCCGAGCCGGGACGGAACGGCCAGGCCTGGTGGGCCACGCCGCCACCCAGCGAGGCGGCCTCTGTTGCCGCTGTCGCTCGCGGGCCGACAGGCCGTGCTGCAGTGGCGACGTGACTGCGGGCCAGGCCGCCAGCTGCTGAGGCGGCCTCTCTGCCACAGCGGACAAGGGGACACTGATGGCACTGATTCCCGTGTGCGACAGCGACGCTGACGGCGGTGATTGCCACGCGCGGGAAAATGCACGCTGGTGCCCTGTTACTTACAACCGTCATATATACTTATTTGTGCTAACTCGTTTCATCAAAAGAATGTTATATACTCACGGTTGTAAGTAACAGTATATACTCCAAATTTTAGTACAACAGCGTATACTTCAAACTAGTATCATGTGTACTACTTCCAATGGTTCACGGATGGAAAACAAATGAGGTCCGCTATTCCAAGCAGTCCAACAAGTTTGAAGGACGAATGGTTGTTCCTAACTTCTAGGGTGTAGCTAACGCGTCCAAAAATGGTTGTTAGGGCATGTACAATGATACTATCTTAGGAGTGCCACGTAGGATAAATGATGAGGTGGAGGAGAGAGAACTCATAAGAGAAAGCTTGTCTTCTCTTATTTAAGATAAGACAAGAGATGATCTCTTAGCATAATATGTCTCACCACATTTTTATGAATTGCTAGTTATTGAAGATAAGGCTAAGAGATGACCCATTGTAGACATTTTTCTTTGTCATCTTTAAATTACATGCAAAACTTAAGATAAGACTATCTTATCAACCATTGTACATGCCCTTAGATTTTTTTGACAAATTGGCTGAGTTGTTGTTGTTGTGTGTGCGCGCCGCGAGTGCGTGCATGTGTGTGTGCGCGCGCGCACGCGCGCGCGCGGTCAGTTAGGGGTACAAACAATTTCTCACCTTTCATAGATAGTATAGGAACAATGGTTCAATCGCAGAGCTACCAAAATGGAAATGAGAGAAGTGGCTTTGTATCAAAGAACTCCAAAAGCTTAGGTATGGCAAGTGGCATGCAAATGGAACAATCGGAAACCAAGATATTGTAGTTGCAAGTAAATATCCACGATGATTACAAAATGTAACGCCCTCGATGCGGCTATATCTCCCACGTGTCAAAGCACGACTTAGAGGCATAACCGCATTGAAAGCAATGTCGCAAGTGAGGTAATCTTCGCATAACCCATGTAATACATAAGGGAAAAGATACATAATTGGCTTACAGTCGCCACTTCACACAATACATAAATAAACATCCATCATCCAGATTACACTCAAGGTCCGACTACGGAACCAAAATAAAAGAAGACTACCCCAAATGCTACACAGATCCCCGATCGTCCCGACTGGGCACCTCTACTGATCATCTGGAAACGATACATAGTAACGACCAAGAGCCTCATCAAATTCCCACTTCAGCTCAGTTGCGCCGTCTGCGCTGGTATCATCGGTACCTGCATCTGTTTTGGTAGAATCTGTGAGTCAGGAGGACTCAGCAATCTCACACCCGCGAGATCAAGACTATTTAAGCTCATAGGTAGGAAAGGTGTAATATGGTGGAGCTGCGGCAAGCACTAAGCATATATGGTGGCTAACATACGCAAATGAGAGCGAGAAGAGAAGCAACGCGCCGGTCGAGGAGCTAGAAGCGATCAAGAAGTGATCCTGAAACTACTTACGTCAAGCATAACACAAACCGTGTTCACTTCCCGGACTCTGCCGAGAAGAGACCATCACGGCTACACACTCGGTTGATGCATTTTAAAGAGGTCAAGTGTTAAGTTATCTACAACCGGACATTAACAAATTCCCATCTGCCTCATAAACGCGGGCACGGCTTTCGAAAGATTAAATACCCTGCAGGGGTGTCCCAACTCAGCCCATCACAAGCTCTCACGGTCAACGAAGGAATAGACCTTCTCCCGGGAAGACCCGATCAGTCTCGGAATCTTGGTTCGCAAAACATTTCGACAATGGTAAAACAAGACCAGCAAAGCCACCCGCTGTGCCGACAAATCCCGATAGGAGCTACACATATCTCGTTCTCAGGGCACACCGGATTGTCCAGACTTCCGGTAGGCCAGCCCAGAGTTGCCCCTGGTGGCCACCGGCGGCCGACAGTTTGGACCAACACTCACAACGAGCACTGGCCCGGGGGGGGGGGTAAATAAAGATGACCCTTGGGATCGCGAAAACCCAAGGGAAAGGGCTTAGGTGGCAAATGGTAAAACCAAGTTTGGGCCTTGCTGGAGGAGTTTTATTCAAAGCGAACTGTTAAGGGGGTCCCATAAATCACCCAACCGTGTAAGGAACGCAAAATCCAGGAACATAACACCGGTATACGGAACTAGGGCGGCAAGAGTGGAACAAGTCACCGGGCATAAGGCCAGGCCTTCCATCCTTTACCAAGTAAATAAGGTGCATTAATGTAAACAGGAGATATTGTGATATCCCAAAATAACCACGTTCCGAACTGGAACAACCTTCATCTTCACCTGCAGCTAACAATGCTATAAGAGGGGCTGAGCAAAAGCGGTGACATAGCCAATCAATGGTTGCTAGGACAGGTTGGTTAGAGGTTTGTCATGGAAATAGGTAGGCATGGTAAACAAAGGAAGGCAGGTCTAACATAGCGAAAGAGCGAATACTAGCAAGCAAAGATAGAAATGATTTCGAAGGTATGATCATCTTGCCTGCAAGGTTCTCAGAGTTGTCAAAGGCTTGATCCTCGTAAGCGTTCTCAACAGGTTCCTCGTGCACGTAATCGTCTCCCGGCTCTACCCAAAGCAAGAACACAAGCAAAGGAGCCACAATAAATCACGATGCAATACGCAAGCAATATGATGCAAAACATGTCATGATATGCGAGATGTGATATGCAATGCATATGCGTGCTTCAGAAGGAATGATGAACAAGGCATCAACTTGGCAAACCAAGTATGCCGCTGGAAAGATAAGATGATTTCGGTTGAAATCGATATAAAGATCATCGGATTCGGATGCACGGTTTGCAAATGGCAAGCAAGACAAGTATGGCACAAAGCTGCGATTAACAGCACGATGCTACTTAGCATGCAACAATAAACTATGCTACAGCACCCCAATATAAAAACAAAACATATGGAGATCATCTACAGGAGATGCTTTACAAAAGAGGAACACTGAGCTACGGCTAAATCACATCATAACAGGTTCAAACAAGCATGGAGAAAGTGCATAAAAATATCAGGTTGGACATGTCAGAAACAACATTACGAAGCAATGTTCAGAGCAGGTTATCAACATGCTACAGGGACCTATAATAGCAAACTAAGATATGGCATGAATCTACTCAAAGCATAGATCAAAAGTCCCTTACTGACCATAAGCCAAAATGGACTAGAAAATATGATGGCACCCACGTAAACATAGCAAGTTTCGTTAACAGATTTCTGCAAACAAAGCATGGCATTGAAATAATTACGAAGGCACCTTCGCGAGGTCGATGCACTCACTACAGAGCACCTCAAGATAAACTAAGCATACATCCATCAAGAAGGCATGTCATAGAAGCTATACATGGCAAGAAACAACAACATAGCA